AAGGATTATATTTCCATCTGGATAATAGGGTGACACTGTCCTCTATAAAGAAGTTAAAAACAGCACAGAATGGAAGTCCACCATGGTACAACAAACTAAATCTTCTTTTACTAACAAGAATATGGCCTTTTCTCTGCTCTGACCAATGAACAGTGGAAAAGGGAAAATGGTTAACATGATTTTTTCCACATTCACTCCTCTTGGTCAGGCATCAGGCTGCCAGAAGCTGAATCAACCACGGACTGTTCTTCCTCCAGCTCCCTTGACTCACCCAGAAATGGTGGTGACCATGCCTCTTAAAAACAAACTCACAGTGTTTTGGGTTCCCTACTAAGAAAGCACTTACACACACGCTCCAAGTATGTGAGACATCCCATACTGTGTGCTTAAAAATGAAGCACATGCTCACCTTTGCCACGCAGCATCACTGCATTGCTGGGAAGGACTTGCCCTGTTCTGCCTGGAAGAGCTTTTATCCCTTCATCCCCTTCCTGCCATCAGCAGCGAACACCTCTTTCCAGTCCTTTCCTTTAGCTGTTAATTTCTCTCTTCCTCCCATACTGTTTGTGTAACTGCACAGCTCTACTACCTCATGTTGTCAACTATTTGTGAAGCAGTATGTGTGATGCAGTCCTGCATGAGGCTGTGAGGTTCAAACATAATACCCTAATTTGAATGCATTTGCAGCTCACTGGACTGACTACAGCCCCCTGAAGTTACAATGGTTTGATATTCTGTAAGGGGTTCGCGCAAGATACTCATAGTTCTTGGGTCTTGAAGCTGAAAGACTCAGATGGGTATCTGTGGTAGCCAGCTGCTGGACTTCTGCGAGGCCTTTGATAAAGTCCAGCATCACACTCATATCTTCATATTGCAGATATGTGGATTTGAAGGGTGAACTTGGTGGATAAAGAATTGGTTGGATGATCACAGCAACAGACTTCATGTACAGGTGGAGGCCAGTGAAAAAAATCACAGAATCATAGAATCACAAGGTTGGAAAGGACCTACAAGATCACCTAGTCCAACCATCCTCCCATCACCGTTGCTATCACAAGCACTAAACCATATCTTGTAGCTCCTCATCCAGACACCTCTTGAACGCTGCCAGGGATGGTGACTCCACCACCTCCCTCGGCAGCCATTCCAGTGCCACTCCAGAGGAGGTGGATGCCCCATTCCTGGAGGTGTTCAAGGCCAGGTTGAATGGGGCTCCGGGGAAACTGGTTTAGTGGATGGCAGTCCTGCCCATGGCAGGGGGCTGGAACTAGATAATCTTCAAGATCCCTTCCAATCAAAGCCACTCTATGGTTCTGTGATTCTATGTTTTGAGACCTTCTGCAGAAAAGACACAACTCGATTCTTTTGAGCAGGTCTCCTGGCACAGACATTTTGACAATGCAAATCACCATCAAATCTTTTACTTTTTTATTTACTTATTTTAACCTATAAAATTAGGGAGTTTAGGCTTTTCATCTGTTCAGAGGCTCAGATCAAATTCTACACTGGAGCACACAAAGCACAGGCAGCATGTAGCATCCCACTACAGAGCACATGATATAGCAAAAGGCAAAGCAATATTCACTGTATCTTCAATATTAACACATTTTTCCCAAGAAGAACACAAATCCAGGCCAATGCTAGGTATCTAGATAACAACAACAACAACAAAAACCAACAGAAATACCCACCCCAACAAATCATTTTCTCCCCCTTTCCTAACTGGTTTATCTATCTCATATTGAGATTCAACGAGGAGAAAATTCCTGGCATATTTTATGTTAAAAAAAAATAATTAAATCATAATCATAACTTCTGAATGTGCTTATTTGACTATTCTGTGAATTTTTTTCTTTCACCTTTTACTCCAGTCTCCTATGGGAGTAATTCATATGCTTTAATTAAACATTCTTGAGTATTTGGACTTTATCTCACAGATATACCACACCCTGCTTGTAAAAATTCCATCTCAAGCAGCCAAAGTACTTGACTTATCCGTAAGAGGAGTTATTAATTAGAGTAACTGCAGACTACGTATTTATAATCTGGTGCCATCACTTCCCATGGATCTCAAGCTTTTATCTGCAGATTACTTACCTGCAGCTGAAACAGAATCATACCTAGCTGGAATGTGATCCCCAACTTGTGCAACTGTTCATCACCACTATTAAAATGAAGAATGGAAGATAGGTCCAAATGGAAGAAGTATTTAAGATGTTTTAAGAATTTTTTAAAGATATTCAGACTAGCAGGCCTGATTTCACTCCCAGAGTGGTCAGACCCACAGGTCTAACTATCCTCACCAGACATCATGCGATGCTTGCAGCCCACTGGGGCACTGGCTGGACACTGACTTAGAGGGGGAGAGTTACCCCAGTCTGAAATCACCAGAGGAAATTACAAGCAGCAAAATACTTCCACAAGCCAGCGGATAAAAGCTAGTGCCAACCATGAGCTCAGCAGCATCGCTCCCCAGCACCCCTCGTTTGCCGGTGCTCTGCAGCATTTTTAGCTTCCTAGGTGAGCCAGCTCCCCTCACTCTCAAAATGCTTAGCGATCAAGAATCAGGGCTCAGGGCTGCTGCGGCAGCCAAACATCCACACAGGCGTGGGGAAAACGTGTGAGAGGGGAATATCGTGCTACAGGACTCAGCAAAAGCACTCACGGGCAACTTCATGCTCCTAAGCGCAGAAAGGAGGGTGCAGCCTTCCCGCAGAGAAACATCCAAAGGAAATCCTGCTGGCATGAAATAGATTGGGAGACAGCCTGCAGGAGTCCCCAGTAAGCAAGCCCTAGGCAGCTGATGGAGAGATGGCAAAAGCAAGCGTCGCTTCCCAGCAGTAGGTTGGGACAGGACTGTGCTGCTTTGGGCAGCCCACAGAGCCTGCCAGGCTTCTTGCTACAGTGGGTCAGCAGCAGTCCTCACCTGAGGGCGAGCTTGGAAGCTTGGACTCCTTTTTGTATAACTGAATTGAGTAAAACCCCTGACTCAAACACTTGCGGTACCTGGAAATATGTTGGCTCAGAGCTGCATTTTACAGCTTCAGTCAGTTGCGGAATTATCAGAAGTTACTCCCTAGATTACCTCCTCTTCCTTTGTTTCTTTGCAAGCATTTTCTTTTTTCTTTTTTTTTTGACATTCGTCCATCCATTGCTGGTCTGAATCAGAAGCTGTTAAGTTTTTCCTAAAACAGATAATTCTGGCTGGGATGACAACGGCAGTATGGAGGAGCTTTCTCCGGCCCTCTTTTTAATTTTTCTCTTTTCGTAGAAAAAAGATGTTCAGGTTGCAGTAAAAGTACAAAAAAATACATTAATCTTTGTTAAACCGGTAGAGTCAATTGACATGGCTCGGACTGGCTGCTTCCTCCCTTTTCCCTTAATGCCCATCCACAGCTTCCTCCCCTCTCCTCTCTTCGGACACCGTGTTTGAAAGCTGCACGCACACTCCCTGCAGGCTGGGACAGAGGATGATAGGGGAAACGTCTGGATGCACTTAGTCCAATTAAGTGTTGGCATCACATTCAGTCTTTCCGAAGAGCACGTAGGAAACTGTAAATGTCAGGCAGGCCACTGTGAATTGATGTGTCCCCATTTACATTTCCTTGCATCAAGCCACAGACAGAGTAGGTATTAATTGTCATCAAGTGCACTGTCACAAAACCCTCTTTAATATAATTCACAAGTGTTCTGCTAAAACCTTTAGTCTTTCAGCAGATCACTTCCATAATCCCATGTCACTGATGGGTTTTGGCAGAGATGAAGAGCAAACTGTGTTTGCTGCTGACAACCCTGCCACACTTTCCCTTTTTAGCTGCCGCACCAGTACACAAAATCTGTAATGGCACTCCCTGCTGAATGTCATTTCGAACTGGCAGCATTCCTCCGAGCTGTGTGCTTGCTAAGAGAGCTTCAACGCAAACAAACAGACACACACGGGCCCTGCAGATCACCCTTGTGCCACCCGGCCTTTCCTAACACCGCTCCTCTGACAGGAGGATTTGTGGCATAAAGCCAAGCTGAACGCGGAGCCAGCTTGTGCCTCACTCCCACAGATGGTGCCCTGACATCCGTGGGGCTGCTGCGCCAGGGTAGTGGAAATACCTGGGCTCCCCTGCACGGAGACTCACAGCCCAGGCAGGGAGCGCTCACAACTGAATTTGGGGTAAGAAAGCAGCCACAGAGCCACAGAGGAGGGACAAGTACAGCTAGCTCTCTCCCACTTCTTTCTTTTTTTTTTTTTTTCTAAACAACTAAATCTTGTTCTTCCTGCTCCTGAGAAAACTCCTTTAAAAATGAATGAGACTAGTCATGTAACTGAATTAAGGGTCAGCTTACAGTGTTATTAAATTAAATGCTTTTATATACAGTAACTGAAGAGCTTGGTAGAATTCGTGAAACTGGATTCAGACTTCCCTCAGATATTTTCCAAAGTGGCTAGAAGGGTTTAAGGATCTAAACAGAACAAACTCATAAAACCATGCTTTGCACACTGCAATATCTAAACCAGCGACATACTTCCACATTGCTGCTATGGCTTTGCCCTCCAACATGTGTTCACAGCTCTGATTAGATCCAACCACAAATTCAGGACTAACTGTACTGAGACACATCCCCAGCTGATTCCAGTATAAACTGCATGTCCAGAATCTGACTGCACAGACAGTCACAGCATTCCAGCTATGCATCTCCAACTCGTGTACTGATGCACAAAAAAGCAGGAATGCATTTGTGCCACATTCACATTGCTCAGACTGCTGAGTGAACGGTGAGGAGAAGGAAAGGAAGAGAGCAAACAGATGCTATTGGCTTATCTGTAATAAAGGCTTGATCCATCATGTTTAAAATATTTAAAATACACTCCACAGTCATGCTCACACACAGTAATCTCTGAGGATGTGAAAAACCTCCTGTCACGCTTTTCAGATTTGGAGAATACATGGTTCTCATCACAGAGTGCCAAGACAAACAACCTGTGCTTCCACTGCACATTTTGGTACCTGTACAATAGGGTGGCCCCCAGCAGATGCCTTCACAGCCCCTCGACTGCCTTCTGTCTCATAATGAGCTCGGTGGTGAGATTTAGGCTGCACTTCAATACGCAGTTCATAAGGTCCTGAGTGAGATGGCAGCTGCCAATCAAGGGCAGGCAGGGATGGGCTATAATGGAAAGGAAAAAGTATTAAAAATTAGCATCAAGTACAACATCACAAACCACAAGCATCCAGCGCTATTACTTAAGAGAACATGTTTCACAGTTCATCCTTCACCATCTTACATTCAAAATTTCATCAAAATGGATAATGCTATGACATGAGTAATTTGGGAAGTAATGGTTATTTCATGAAGATTTATGGGTTGAACATAGTTGATAGCCCAGGTGCTATCTACTTTGTAAATAAAACAGGAAAACATTAAGAGGTGGCTTACAAACATCTTAATATATTAATTCTTGAATCAAGAGGTAGGCAGAAAGATAGAGAGGAACTTAGGGGAGAGTATTTCAGCTGCAAAAGACAATGCCAAACCTGCTCTGGAGAACTTCTATACATTTACCTAATCCAAGATTTAAACAAATCTGTGTAGTTTATAGGTGATAACAAGAAGGGCATTTGCAAGAAGGCCAGCTTTGTGTCATGTCACAGGGTCTCAAAGCAAAGCTGGTCTCTCACGCACCACAGGGAAGCAGGACCCGGAGTCAAAACATGGTTACAAATCCTACCAATGATGACGCACGAGCCAGAAGAAAATCCAGCTCACTCTTCCGGCTCTGTATTGACTCAGCAATTACTAAAATATTAAGGACTCATTACTATCACAAAAGCAAGCAGAACTGACAGTATGCAATAGTGAGGGAGCGTCATTCTTAGAAACCCACATCCAGAGTAAAACCACACTTGAAAACATTGGCAGGAGAGCTCAGCTGCAAGAAATGCCACACAGATGCTCTGGGGAAAAGGAGAAAGAAATGAACAAATGTCATTGAAAAAGTACCCAAACGTATTGATCTTCAAGCAAGAAGCTTCATGATCTGGAGCCCAGTCAGAGGCCGGCTGGCTGGGATGTACCAGCTCCCTGCCCTGTCCTCAGGCCCTGGTGCCAACGTGGTATGAGCAGCATGACAATGACCACAGGAAGCTGGCTGGGAGGGAGAGGATGCAGCAGAGCTCCTGTGCTGGGCACATTTATTACAGGCGTGTATCCATTTCATTTCATTTTGTAATGTTTATCCAGTACTTATCACCAGCATACTTCATTTGTATCTGCTGGAGTACAAGTGCGTGTGCACTCATGGGACTTAAGGTGGTGCCAAGATTTTCAACATTATCTTCTTCACTGCCTATAAATTTGCCTGTTTGAGTAACTTGAATGCCTATGGACAAGCACTACATGCATTACAGAAATCCCCAAACAACTCGAATGCCTATGAACAAGCACTACACGCATTACAGAAATCCCCAACCTCTGCAACAAAATTTCTGTAAATGGTGGCTGCTTTACACTCAGACAGTCATTATCTCACAGCTAACACTTTCCACATACTCCATCTGTGCCACTGCAGCCAGTCATGCTGCTCTGGTTGGCAAGAGAAAGCTGGAGCCTCTGAGGGCCCACTGGAGACACTACATCCCAGGCCTACACACACTCCAAGCCTTCTGCTGCTTTGCTCTCCAGCCTTGCCCCAGAACACACAGGGCCCACCATGGGGACAAGGAGCTGGATGTTTTGACTCAAGTCCATGCTCCTGCACAGCGAGGCACTGCTCAAGGCACTAAGAATGAACAATTTGTCCAGACAAGCTTTTAGGTAGGCAACAAATGGTGTCCAGGAGAGGCACTAGCGCTTCTTGCAGGCTCTTCTGCTACTGAACGCACAGCAAAAGAGCTCAGAGCCACCTAAAAATCGTAGGCAATTGGCCACTGTTAAAGCCACCCTTCCTTGTCTAGAGCCTCTGGGTACACATTCTTCAGTCTGAAAATCTCTAAAAGAAAATCTGGACAAGCCATATTTGAGTAATAACGAGTGACGAGGCATGGAGCAAAACAACTGTATCTCTCCTGGTGATGATCACCATACATTTTAAAACAGATGTTTCCGATTTTAAGTAAATTCTCACTTCATGGATTTTTTTTTTCTTCTTCTTTTTTTTTTTCTTCCGAGAACACAACATCTATCTGATTAAAAAAACATTAACACAACATTAAAAAGGCCTGCTCTAACTGGCAGCCTTGTAGCCCACAAGAGCAGACAGATATTTTTTACGATTTAGGGAACCATGTAATAGTCCCATGACTAATTAGACCTTTTAAAATAACCAATGCAACACACTTTCAAATTAGCATCTAAAAATGTCAGTATAATTAATTTATGAATTTCATGTTTTCAAATAAAGCATGAAAATAAAAATACATTTGCTGCTAGCCTGCAATCTATCATCAAAATTCCAAACGACCACCTGACCAGTTATAAATTGACAATTAATGACAGTTTTCCTGATAAAGGAAGCAGAGTGATGCATTTGACAGTGTCACTGGCTGGGGCTGTAAGAGCTATTTCCTATGTTAGGTTATCTTCACCATGCACTTAATTTCCTGCAGCTAAATGTGGTTAAAGAAAAAAAAAAAAAATCACCTAGCAAACTGTCTAGTGGTAAACTGAAATCTAGTTGCTGCAAGCAGACTTTATCAATTTGAAAACTACTTCAACTAGCAAGCATCACGTGGAAGGGAGATGAGCTGCTCCACTAGCAAGGGGAGAGAAAGAGAAAGAAAAGATCTTCATATCAAATATACATTGGTGTATTTCCCTCTGATTGAATTTTCCACCAATTGAAAATCTGTCCCATTCCGTTCTACATCGTGATAAATCTTACAGCATTCACTCAAAATGTTGTAAAGAGAGATGATTGTTTCAAGGCAGGTTCACAAAACCTGGTGTGAGACTGTAAAAAACTTGCTCAATGTAACTACGTCCTCCATAAATCAGATTACAAAACAGATGAATTGTGATTTATTTTGCATACACCAGATACACAACATGATTAAATCATAAACAGATTATCGAGTCTGGCTGACTTCTGCCTTTAGCAGAAAGATTTATCAAGTTACAGGGTAGAAAAAGAAAAGATATTAGGCAGCACACTGGAATATAGGCAGAGAGGAAACAAATCCAAAAACTTCTATTAAACTTTGCAAAGGTGTTTAAGCCCTATTTTGATGGTTGTGCATTTGGGAATTAAATTGACACTACACTTTCACTGCACAAGCTACTAAATGTGCAAGGTCACTTGCAAAACACTCGCAAGTATTTTTGCTCTTGGCTATGCAGTTCTGCAAATGGCTTTGGAACAGCCGTTGGTCTTGAAAAGAGATGAATCCTGCTCCTTCACCAGGTGTCACAGCACGAAGTCATCTACTGAAGACAGTGGTATGACAGCAGCAGAAGCTGCTGCCCCAAGGAGCAAAGTGAAAAGTGCTTTTCAACAGCTCAAGTAAAGCAAGTGACGTAGCCAAGTGCGGCTGAGACGTGATGCCTTCCACCGAACTCCTTTAGAAACAAAGGCATAAACCAGAGAAACCACAGGGCTGCTGAACCTTCTAACACGCTGCTAAGTTTGTCCTTGCTTCAACTGTACACCAAATGCAAATATGGTTATGATTTATTGCTTATTACATGTCTCATGTTAAAATGGATGGCTGTTAAAAATCCTTGCATGCTTTTCAGAAGCGTAAGAAAACACCGCAGGTCCCGCTGACTTGTGGTCTGAGAAGTATACTTGCTTTATATTTCACCTCTGAGAGGACTTTTTTTTTTAATTTCCTGTCTGACAATTGAGCAACCTGGCTGTGAGCTGTTAAAACAAATGCTGCATCCCACCCCAGACTTGGCTGTGCCTTACCGGCATGCAGAGCAATTTGCTCTACTGTGGAGTCTGTGCAGAGCTTTGGCATTTCTCACACTGAGCTCCAAGAGCACAAGTCATCATCATGCTCACCGACAGATAATACACAACACAACCATCCTGAAAGATAACATCCAGAGACAGATATGCATAGGAAATGCTTCATTTGTTGACTTAGGTTTAGAGACAGAACAAGTAGCTACTGCCGCAGGAATGGCAGAAGCAAGTGGCTCATGTTGCATCCCTGCTTGTTCTGAATTTAGTATCACATGGCACTGAAATGAGCTCGTGAGGGCAGACCATTAATAAGGAGCTCACAGGGGTGTCTAAATGAACTGAGAAACGGTCAGAAGAAAGTGCTGGGAGGATTTAAATCAAACAAACAAAATGGTTTACTGAGACAAGTTTCCAAGCAGACCTTCACAACTAAAAGCTGGTGCCACATGGTGGCAGACTCAACTTATTGGAGCTTGAAGATGCCTCTATGCAACATGAATAGAGCAGGGAAGAGGTAAAGCCTGGATAGGTTTCTTCCCCGTCCCCTCCCTTTGCCCCCCAGTTAACACCAGCTAGTCCTGGGAACTGGCTACCAGCACTTGGCCAAAAGTCTCTGCCTTACTGGGCCATGCCATGACAGCTCAGCATTTGCTTTGTCTGAAGAATTTCCTCTGGCTTGCAATAAGCACAAAAGCTTGCCATAAATGCACAGTTCAGCAAATCTGGTGTTGCCGCTTGTGATGGTCCTTCTCCATCTTCAGAAACACCAATTTTGTGGGAAATTCAAATTCTCCCAAGTAAAGTTATCCTTTCTCTTATCAGCTAGACCAAAATCTCTATTTAAGCAAAAACAAGAATATCCAAAGGTCCATAAATCAAAAGAATACTGAGAAAAAAAAAAAAAAAACAACCAACAAAACAGCACATTAAACCCCTATTTTTATAAGCAAATCATACAATTTGGGACCTCAGTGAATCATTTGGAATGCCTGAGTTTGATACTGTCACAGTCACAAAAGTGGAATAAAAAAACCCAAACAAATAATGAACAAATCCAGTAACACAGATAAAAGCAAAATGTGCTTTTGAAACTGGTAGACAGATCCCCAGCCACACATTCTCTAGATGCAAATCACAGACTCCGTATGTAACACTACATGTCTCTCTCTGTGTGGATTCAAGAACTTCTATATATTATTTTTCAGGCTGAAAAAGAAAAAAAAAAGACTGCAGTGAAAAATTTGTGGATTTCAGCTGTTAAAAAAAAAAAAAAAGCACAAAAACATACAGTAGGGAGCTTTTATAAGCCACCTGGAACTGCCTGTCTATTCCTGGAAGCTCCTTTTGGTGGTAGACCTCATACATGCCATACATCTGACCAACAAACCCAACCGTTTCTCTCCTCCCCTTTCCCCACTACACTACTTCTGAAGAAAATGAAAGCGTTACATGCCAACACGCTTCTTGTTAAACTGATTAAAGCATACAGAGAAGCTGTTACTTTTCAGTGAATAAGAAGTTGTGTTAGTTAATGAGAGTAGCTAAAGAGGGAGATGTAAAAAGATGTAAGATACTCAAAAATCCGGCATTTTCATGAGTGCCAATCTTTTCTGCTGAAGTAAATAGTGATTTGGGATATGCAAATAGGTGGGTAAGAAATAAAAAGCAGAATCTTAATTTTGGAAAGAGTCCCAAATACTGTGTTGTTGGTTCTGTTCTCATATCCAAAGGGAAGTCAAGCTCTGTAATTCCACGTTGCTTTTGGCATTTTTGCCTGTGAGAGGCTCTCAATCACGGAGTAAGAAGAACTGATATAACAGCATCAGAGAAAAGAAAGCAATTGTTTCAGGGATGGTTTAAGGAAGTACAAAGTATTGCCTGCCCGTACAACAAACAGCAGATGAGAGAATGCTCCTCCTGGTACACAGAGGTCTGGAAGAAGTATGATTGCCATTGCCACCTCATGATTGGCTCTGAAGCTTCCCAAGTAAATCTCTGCCTGGTCTGTCAATGTTTTCTACATCCAAAGCCATGGACCCAAGGCAACGAGTTGCAGATCACGAATGGAGATAAAGCCCAGTGCTACCTCCATGCCAGCCCTTGGATCTGCCCTCCCATTCTCCCTCACCAGACTCAGCACCTGCATGCCAACTGCCATGCGGCGATCCGGCTGCATGCTGGTAGCCCTTGGTGGAGGCCTGGCAGCCAAAGCCTGATCTGAAGAGCCCAAAGCTGGCAATCTGGAATGAGCTTCTAAGTTGATGGATCGCACAGAATCTTCAGAAATCAGTAGAAAGACGGAGCATAAAAAGATTGTATTTCCACTGAACCAGGCATTACTCTCTACTCTTATTATTCCCTGTTGTTCTAGTACTTGGAAAAACAAAAATTGATTGAGTCTTAATTGTGAGAAATAAAAAAATGCATCAGTTTCAGACATAGTATTAAAAAAAACCTCTTTCTTTTTTAGATTAATGCCTGACATAAAAACATGGGTAAAGAGACATCCACGTGCTTGGCTGGTGCTGCTGGAGCCTATTCCCCTTGCTCTCAAATACAGGGGAGAGGAAGAGAAGGAGGGAAAGGCATCAGTGATTTTCCAAGGCACGCTTGCTTTTGATGAAAATGTTATGTGTACTCAGGAAGAGACCGAGGAGCTAATCAAATATGGTTATCTCAAAATCATTACAATCGGGTAGATTTTGGAGCCTGAGTTGTTTGTTGGAACCTACCCCTAAAGTCCCAGCAGTTGAAATAGAACAGATGTGTAAAATAACAGGAAAAAAAATCCAGATCTGTTGTGACAATTTCTTAACCAATTTTTTTGGAAAGATTTAAAATAACATAGTTTCTGTTGCGTCGGCTGTGATCCTGTTGACGTCTGTGCTCAGTTGCCCAGCACTTTCATATACATAAAAATTAGAGGTATTTTTGGTGGAAGGAAGCATGGTCAGTGTATCTGATTGGTAAAATTACTTAAAATCACATTTCGACAGTAACTTCCAACTGCCCTAGAGCACGAGTTAATGAGATCACATGGAAACATATTGCGAACCAGGAAACATATTTTATACGAGACCAAAACAGTGGAAAAAATGTTAAATACACAACGTAGTGGGGCTCCGTTTTGTACACTTCACCTTTCTTGTTTGTGTTAGCACACAGGAATGCTGGGTGCCTTCTGACTGACTACAACAAAGCGCGTAAGGGCGGCTCTCTGCAACAGAAAGATAAAAAGCGTGTTTGGTCAAACTCTCGCATTGTTGCCCTTGAAGTCTTTGGCAAAAAACAGCCAGACACAAAAGCCAGTGTCCTGTCATTCTGACGAACTCAAATCCTTTTACACCTTTGGAAGGAGAACACAAATGGCTCTTCTTAAATACGTAGAAGGCTCTGACGGATTTGCTGGGACTGAAAAGTACCCACCCCAGAACTGAGTGCTCACTTCCAGGTGGCTCCAGCAGACACAGTGGGATGGCCACATTTCCCAGTTCTGAGCTGGGCCAGGGCACTGCAAGGACCTCAGACAGTGCTGAGAAGAGAAGATGAGGAGTGATGAGGAAGGGGAAGGACAGTGTTACACAGAATCATCAAATGAACCTTAGAATGGCTTGGGTTGGAAGGCACCTCAAGGATCTAGTCCCAACTCCCCTGCTGCAGACAGGCTTGCCAACCACTAGATCAAGTACTGAATCAGGCTGCCCAGGGTCCCATCCAGCCTGCCCTTGAACACCTCCAGGGACGGGACATACACAACCTCTCTGGACAGCCTGTTCCAGCACCTCACCATCCTCTCTGTGAAAAACTTCCCCCTGACATCTAATCTAAACCTCCCCTCCTTTAGTTTAAAACCATTCCTCTTCATCCTATTACTACCTACCCATGTAAAAAGTTGATTTCCCCCCTGTCTGTAATCTTCCTTTCAATACTGGAAGGCTGTAATGAGGTTTCCCTGTAGCCTTCTCTTCTCCAGACTGAACAAGCTGAGCTCCCTCAGCCTGTCTTCATAGAAGAGGTGCTCCAGCCCTCTGATCATCTTTGTGGCCCTCTTCTGGACCCTCTCCAAAAAAAAAAAAAAAAAAGCTCAGCATCTTTCCTGCTTTGAGGGCCTCAGACTTGGATGCAGTACTCCAGGTGAGGCCTCACAAGTGCAGATAATCACCTCCCTTGTCCTACTGGCCACCTCTCTTCTGATTCAGACCAGGATACGATTGGCCTTCCAGGCTGCAGTATGGTGTAACGTGAAGTGCCACAAACTGTTCAACTTCAGTTTTTGGACACAGAAGACATCAGGCGGGTGCTGGATGGAGAAAAATGAGTTTGGCAATGCTAAGAGCCGAGGACACTGCAGCTGTGCATCCGCTTCTTTAGTGCAGAGTCCTCTTACGATGAACAAATATGACAAGAATTATAAGCTTACAGACAAAGTTTTCTTTAAACAAAAAATGGAAGGGAAGAAAAAAGAAAACCAGTGTCCAACACAGATTGGCAAGAAGCTTTCAGATAAAGTTTCAGATGAAGTAAATGCTGAAACAATGTGTAGAAGAACCACATTCCTATTCTGTTTATATCCACAGTCTATAACAAACAAAATAATGGGAACATCTCTTATTCCTGCAACAAAAATGTATTTGGACACGACGAAGTAAAACCTCAGTTTGATGGCACCAAATTGACCTACTGCCTGACCAAATTCTGAATACCCCTGAATATCCTATTTCCTCACTGGCTGGACTGGGGCCTGTTCCCATTCACAATCAACATACAATCAACTCCTGGAAAGGCCTTGTAATCTTTCAAAGATTTACTCATGGTCGTGCCACACCAACAACAGAGGCAGCATCACGATAAACATCTAAATGGAATGAGTCAGTGGGAAGATTTGGCAGGAAGCAGATACAGGAAGGGGAAGGAGGAAAGAAAAGGATACAATAAAGGTATTAGCAGGATTGTCCTCCAAGCTGGGGGTTGCTTACCTCATGTAGGATGTAGGAGACAGAGACTTTGGTTTGGCCCACTGGTAAGGATGCTGTGGCACTGATAAGTACTGCTCGCAGAAGTTTCCTTTCCTGATATGTTGAAAGCTAGAGAAGTCTTCTGGTGACAAGTCGGCAGTTGGCGATATGGTCCCATGATCCTCGCCAGCCGGTTCGGTTTTCAGAGTCATGGACGGGGTGTGGTCAATGGCAGTCTTCCTTGACTTGATGGGAATCCCATCATTCATATCTATCGTGCTGTCGGTGGTGAGAGCATTTATGGCAGCCACAATGGCAGAGCTGGTATACTGGTTGGTGTTTCCCAGCCACGTCTCATCTGTGACACTCACACGCGGTGAGTTTTGTGGTGAAGGCGTAGGGGAGTGATGTGGTGAGTAGGAGGTCTGCCGGCCATTGAGGCTGTACTTTCTCTTGTTGCAGGGAGACGGAGGCCTGGAGCTGCGAGCCCCCAACCAGTTCTCCTCTGTGATGCTCGTCCTGGGAGATGTCGATGGCGAGTGCCTTGGAGAATTGAGCAAAGTGCAGGCCACCATGCCACGCTGGTACCCCTCCTCTGTGTCAGTGGTCTTTGGAGAGACGCACGGGGACTGCCATGGAGAGGTCTGGGGTGAAGTGTATGGATACGAGTAGTTGGACTCGTAGGAAGACGCTTCAGAGTTGCAGCTTCTGGAAGACAAGCTACTAGCTGGGCTCAGGCAGGACGGGTCTCTGTATGCCTCAAGGTTTGGTAAGTTCAAAGTGGCAGTGGAAGGTGATCGCTTGGCATTTGGGATGGCCTCCTCAACCTCATCATGGAAAAACTGGTTGTTGTTATGATGCAGTCCCATGTAAGAAGTGATTTCAATTCTGGGGCTCTCCAGAGCTGGAGCTCCATTAGGTCTGATGTTTGGAGGCAGGTAATAGTCAGAGGCCCCGCTGTCAATGTGTCCTCCGTATCCGGAAGGATGGTTTGTTGATGGGACAACTGAAATGATGGGATTTGATGTCTGAAGGCCATGACATGGAGTTGACAATGAGGAATGTGCCACATTTAGAGGCAAGCCAGCATTTACGTTTGAAGATGTATAATTATAGTGTTCTGGAAAACAAACAAACAAACAAAAAAGAATGATATGAAGCGCTGTACATAAATACTCACTTAATAACATACCAAGCTGGAATGGAGGAACATGACAAAACACACAAAAGCACAGCACTGCTTGACAACCCAACAGCATTAAGGGATAAATTGATGACTGCATCTTTGAATATCCTACTAATTGAGCAGCACAAGACAAGCCGTCTTGGGAGTAGAATTTACATGGACCGAGGTTGTCTCAAAGACACTTATGTAAACCTTCAGAGCAAAAAAGGGTGCGTCAGCGTTCAGGGACTGCAGTGCTGCCCAAGAGACGTGCTTTTACATAAGCGAGCTTTATTCCCTGCCTTAAAAGCTGGAAAACACAAAAAGTACAGAAAAAAAAAAAAGGAAACAAAAGTAGAGGCGGGCTATAACGAAGTCCGTGATGAAATGCATTCTACTAAAAAAATTATACACAACTGAAATTTCCATTACAGTGAGTTTCCAAGCGGTTCCAGTTAACTAGGTTTTTGGAACAAGACGGATCTATTGACCTGCTCTGGTTTCTGGGACCACTTATCCTCCCGCCCAACTGACAGAGACCAGGTGAAAGATAAACACGGAGGTCTTGCTACTCTGCGACAGATGAAATTCCACTGAAATTGCTGGTTCTTGCAGATGCCACACGTAAATGCTGCCAGGAGCACGCTCTGGGCCAACCGTCTAACTGTGTAACAGCTCAGAGCGCGTTAAAGCGATAGCGTGATCACTGTGGAAAACCTGAAAAGTGAGATCACATCACAGACTTGTGCCGATCCAGCACAGGGGACCAGCATGCCTCCATATCTGCTGTGCTGTGCAGAACCGGCCCCTCAAAGTTGGTCCTTAGGGATCGTCCTCGCTTCAGGCCCCCATCGGCCTGCTAGCAGGCCCACCATCAGCATGTGCAGCTCCTCTCCCCTGCTCTGAGGCCTCATACAGGTCACTCTCCGCCTCCCAGAGACACCAGTGGGCTGTGGCTGGGCAGGTGGGCAGCTCTCAGTACTGTGACTGATGTATGATCAGGACTCAGCCCCTGTGCTTTCTTTCTGGCTCAGGGAAGCTCAGTCACCTCTACACTCGAGCCAGAGCCCCTCAGGCTGGTATCTCTTCCTGTGCCAGAAAAAGATGGCAAACCATTTCCGTCAAGGATGAGGTCTGCTAGATTTGGTAATGCTGTTCTGTAGATCTGGAGGTAGCAGCCTGGAAATAATCCCAGCTGCAGCTCCAAGCAGCCTTTCCCTGGGTTCATCCTGGCAGCGGCATTACCCCACATGACACAGAGAAACTCTGTGTCCCCCAGTCAGAGCCGGCCTCCATGAGGAACCAGGCCTTGTCCCTTGTGGGAGGCAAGCTTCTGGTGGAGACCACTGCCCACCTTCCCTGTGCAGAGGGCAAAGCTCTGCTAGTTACCACAGCTGTTATTCCCAACGCGAAATGCTCCCAGGAGCGCTGAGGATGCAAATGAGCCTCCAAGATGGTTATGCCAGCCAGCACAGCCAGCTATTCTCTTTCTTTGTTTATCAGCTCAGCCCTCTCTGGTGTCATCCTCCAGCTATCCTGTGATCGCATTTCCCACTGGCAACGAATCCAAGACAAACAGCACTTACAAAAAATTAATGTGCTTTAGCAGTTTCACAGCTGCTCTGTGATGTTCCAGCTGATTTACACCAGGTCAGGTAATATTTACAAACAATGAGAAACAACGTATTTTCAACACACTTTCTACTCTGCAATCAGAAAGCAGTCACTTAGTGAGGAACCAGAATGTGCCACAAATAAAGCTGGAATGTTCAAACCATGAAAGAGCTTCACATGTTATTTAAACTATGGAACTATGGAAAACGAGGTGCTCCTTTGACAAGGTTCTTCTGACTGCAGTGGTCAGGTCAGAAAGAAGTCCACCTAGGGGACTGGAGACCTCTTTCCAAAATGAGTCTCCTTTTCTTGCTGCCTTACTGCACGGCAGCCCCGCTCACAGCCACCACAAACACCACCACCTCCTTGTCATTCTTAATGAGAAAAAAAAACTGAAGCAGTCCAACCCTCGCTGTTCCAGAAAGGAGCTCAGAGATGGGGTCTAAGCAGTGCCCCCAAGGCAGTTTCAGCCCCTTTCTGCTTTCTCTGGCTTCAGAGGAAGGCACCTCACCAGCTACTGGGATGCCGCCTGGCTCCTCCTAGAAACATCCCTGCATTGCCCTATTGCACAACTGGTCCCCAGCACGCAGTCAGACACAGAAAGCACAGATGATCTGTACCCACCAGGTGGGCTTCATATATCTGCTGCCTGCAGCATCAGCGTCTTACTTATTGCAATTAATAAATAAATAAACAGTGATCACTATTACCTGAATGATAAGTATGGCATATTAGAAAATCTAATACATAGCTAAAGTAAAAATCAGACACCGAAGTTTTCTGAAGATCTGCAGCCCAGGCCAAACAGGCAGTGTGTAGAAAGTATGCCCAACAAATATAAAAGCCCAAAAGCAAGATCTAGGAACGAGACCAAGTCCTTGGTTTGTTAGCTAAAAACCACCAGCCACAATTTCTGAAAAAGCGTGTTCCAGTCCTCAGTTTATGTTTTTACAAAGCACATGGAGCACACACAGTCAGCAGTCCTAACACTGCTTTCTCACCAAGAAAAACCTTCTCACAAAAGTGAACAAGACGCATGGAAATAAAATGCCCGTCTCAAGTGGGAAGTGGCCACATAAGCACAAAGCTGCGGCACAGAAAGCAGCAGCCCATCACCAGCAAGGTGTTTTGGCAGCACCGAGAGAGATGAAAAGAAGGTAAAGTTTTAGCACGGATGGCCTCTGCTGTCACTGTAACCCTGACCCATTGGGCCTCCCCCTGCCCAGGGCATGCACAGGCCTGGGCTTACCTTCACACTGCTGCTCATGGGCATTACTTCAGCTACTTCCTACAAAGACATTTTCAATAGTTGGCCCTAACATCCCAAGCCAAACATCAGCATCAGGCCGGCTAGTGCAAGTAATTTTGTTGCCACCACGCCCATACTTGCACTAGGTTTAACTAGGACAAGAAACTGGATTCCTCCATTCGTAAGCACATCTTCACGTGTTACATTTCACTTTGTGACAATGTAAAAAAAAAAAAAAAAAACAGATTTTTCTCTAGTCAATTCCACAGAGCATAGGCTTTATTCCTTTCTATAATTAACAGGCTGAACCTACGAATCACTGGGCACCATCACAGTTTTTATTTATACTCTTTAAATAGGAGTGCTTAACACCCCCAGCTCAAAGGGGCTTCAGAGAAGCAGAGGGCTGTGTTACACTGCAATACATTGAGTCCCATCTCGTTCTGTGCTGAAATTCATGCTTTCAGCACTGCCTCTTCTCACCAGGACTTTGACACTTCATCTGTGCAGACTCCTGCTCCTTCTAGGCGCGTAATTCATAGGAAATTACATCTGTAATGCTTGGTGTGACACTTTTAAAACCTCATCTTCTAAAACTGAGAAACTCCTTACAACCGTTTGGAATCTGAAGGCTTGCTGGAGCGCAGAGTGACAGGAGAGCACTGTGCACAGCTGTGTCCTAGCAGGCTGCAATACACGGGCAAGGATGTGAGAACCTGCCTCGATTTAAAGACAACAGTTCTGGTGAACTGAGAAACTGAGACAGCATCAAATCGTCCTCTTACACACGAGCTTTTTAGGGTGACCAACTAGCACTGAAATTGTGACAGCCAGTCACGGACCAGGAAACGACGACAGCTTTCTGCGTGCGTCCGTCCTGGGCTCACTCACCTCGTTTCTACTTCAAGTACTGCTGAAAGTCACACAACAGCAGCCGCGCAGAGGCTTGGCAGCGGCGACCCGCGACAAATCCAGGACCGTTATTTTGGTTTACAGATGACCTTCAGGCAACCCCGAGCCCAACCCGCTCCAGCTCACGGCGGGGAGGCTCTGATCGAGCCCCGCGCTCCCATCTGCCGCCCCGCATCCGCAAACCCCGGCACCCCGGCAGCCTGCGAGTACAGCTCGGTCGCAACCTCAGAAAAACTCCCGGTGTTTGAAGAGCTGCGAACAATCCCGGAGTTTAAAAAATTCCTCTCCAGTCACCTCCCGCGCGGCTCCCATCCGAGTCACAAGGGCACCGAAAGAGAAAGCGTCGGACGGCCGCGGGCACGCTTCAGTTCGGCTCGCTTTCTTCCCGGCTGTGCGGGGCACAAGGACCGGCCCCGCCGCTTCCCACTCCCCCCCCGGCCGGCGCACGCCGACTCCGCTCGGGAAGGACCCCCTCGGAAGAGCCGCCCCGCCCCGTCTCCGCCGGGACCGGCTGGCCGCAGCATCCCTCCCTTCGGCGACGCTGCCCCCGCCGCCCCTCGCCGTGACCCACCTCCGCCTCCTCCCTCATCGCTGTGCTTGAACTCGAAGAGAAAATCAAAATCAAACTCCTGCTCGGCCTCCACGCCGGTCATGCCTTCCGCAGCCCGCGACGACACCCGCCCCGTTCCGGCACCCTGCTGGCGGCGGCACAGCCCCCGGCTCGCCCCCGTCGGGCCCGCCCCGTCGCACGGGAACACCTGCTGCCGAGGCTGGGCTCTCGTTCCGCGGCGCTGGGCTGGGCGGCCGGCACGGCGGCCCGAGCTGCGGCAGAGGTAATGTGAGCCCTGCCCGACGGGCGGCCTCGGATCTCGCTATCGCCGCCGCCGCCGCCTCTGATCCGCCTCCCTCGCTTTGTTGATGTTTCCGGGTCGATGCAAACCACCCCCCTTTTACTCCCCCCCCCCTCCGGCGTCGTGCGCTCCCGGCGCGGTCCGCACGCCGTGGGAACCCACCCGGGCCCTCCCTGAGCCGGTACCGAGGGCAGCGGGGAGGCGGGCAGCTTTCACCTGTGGCCGCCCGAAAAAACAGGCATCGCCGCAGATGCCAAGCCGCGGGGAGCCGCGGAGCAGCTGCTCCGGAGGAGGAGCGGCGGGATACGCTGCGCTGAGCGAAGCCCGGGTCCTTCCTCCGAGGGTCCCACCGCTCCTCGTCTGCGAACTGGGAGACTCCAAGCTTGGCTGATTATTATTATTTTTTTAATCTTACTTCGTTGCAGCACCCACTAGTGCCAACTGCGATAAAAAGTGCGGCGTAGCAGCTCCCCACGCGTGCCGCATCTCCGGGCCGAAGGGGACCCGCGGGGACCTCGCAAATGGCCCCCCACAAATGGCACCCCGCAAACGGCACCCTGTAAATGGTCCCTCGCAAATGGCCCCCACGGCGCTGCCCCGTCCCGCAGCACTCTGCTGCTCGCGGGGGCTGAGGTCAGCCAGGCAGGAGGACGCAGCGTCCACTTGTGTTCAGAAACGCACGCCAGTTAGAGCCCGTTCTGAAGGCTCCGATGTACAAACGACCTCCCCGACCCAACAGCCGGGACTCGCTGCCGCTGTGGAGCTCGCAGGATTTAAGGCCAGATTTCGAAAGGAATAGTTTTTAAAGCAGTTATGGAAACGGTATTCCCTTAATAAACCGAGGGAATACCATTTTCCAGGCTCATGGCTGAAATCTCCACTACAAAGTGCCAGGAAAACACACTTTTTTTCCATCCGATCCTCTCGTGCTTTTTCCCCTTCCCGCAGGGCCGGGCCGTACCGCAGCCCAAACGCGCCTCAGGCGGCTCGACGGCAGCAGGAGCTCATCGACGGGCAGCCCAGGGACCTCGGGGGAAGGCACACAGGCTGGGACAGAAGCGGGAGGTCATCGGGCGGGCCGGGCCCAGGCGCCAGGCGCCACTTCCCCACGCACTCGGTGAGTCACCCGAGTGTGCAAAAGCCTCAGCAGCAGCGCAGCTCCTCCGCGTGGAGCTGCCGGCTCGGCGGGGCCGCGCTCCTTCGGGATGCGGAGCCCGGGACGAGCGGGACGTTACGCGTCATCCACGCACGGCCTCGGCCCGACAGCGCGGATCGCCCGTGCCGCCCTGCCCGCATGTGGTACCTGCACGTTGTGCCACGCCATGTACGGACCGTCTGACGGCCGGCTCCGTGAATATCGTTGCCGTCAGTGAAATGTTTTGATTGGCACCTTTCCCCCGGGGGAAGATGAAAGGTGCACAGAGAAGTAAAATGAAAGCGATGTGTCGGATGTGGGAACAGAAGGAAGGGTTAAGGCGCCGCTTAAAAAAAACAAAACAAAACAAAACAAACATTAATGCCATTCAGGTGGGCAGAAAGGAGCGAGCCTGAAACGCAGCCCCCAAGCGTCCCCATGGTGAACCTGGACGGCCCCAACGCCTCCGGGCGCAGAGCTGCCCCACCCCGCAGGCCCGATGGAGACTTGAAATGGCACGCAGCTGGGCTCCGCACTCCGCAGCGTCCTAGGAAAAGAGTGGGGTCTGTGGGGCCGTGCCCGCTCATTCCGCTGGGACCTTCTGTTTGAGTTCCTTCCCAAACTGATGTAAAACTGCCCATTTTCTTTGACTGTCATCACTCGGCTGTCAAGAAGCACTTCATTTTGCAAGCAGCGATCTTGACCTGTGGGGTTCCCTGACGTGTTTCCTGCATCGGGACACAGCTTTTGGCCTCATTCTCTCAGTCTCTTACAAAATACATCCACGTGGCAGAGAGTTACCGAGGAGGGCTGCTGACATTTTAACACGGGCATCAGAAATGCCCGAGGACTAAAGAGGGGGAACCTCTTTGACAGAAGACTTCACTACGTGCATAGCGTGAGCTGGTTCCGCGTGTACTTCCCACACGGGGGGACATTTGCTGCCTAAAATCTCGAGTGCAGCCTTCGGGGTACCGGGCGGCGGGGTTGGGGGGGCGGGGGGGGGCGAAGGAGGCAAAAGCCAACACCGTTGTGTTATTAACTTCCTTCTGAAAATGTGCCCGCCTTCTTCAAAAGTGGGGCTGCAGTTTCCGCCACGCTCGTAGCTTCGGCATAGGCAGGGTCCCGTCAACCGAAAGGAACCCCTGCAGTGAAAACTTCCATGTTAAAAAAGACGAAAGAAAAAAAAACTAGAAGAAAAAAGAAAGAAAAAATAAAAATAAAGAAATAAAAAGAGGGGACCTGAGTGCCTGTGCAGTTTCCTGGGACCAATCCGGGGAAGAGCCGTGCTGTCCCCCAGCCAAGCTGCGGGATAAACCCCTCGCGCTTGGACGCGACCCAGCCCCAACTTCTTCCCAGCTTTCAGTCCCATAGGAGCGGAGGCGGCACCGGGTCGGATCGGAGGCGGACCGGAGATCCCCAGGCAGCCCGGGGCGCGGCCCGAATCCCCCGGCCGCGAGGCGATGCGCAGGGAGCGTTTGCAGGATCCCCAGCGGCCTCCCCGCTCTGGCTCGAAAAGGCGACGTGCGAAAGCGTCGCCAGTGCGGTGCTGGGTAACGATGTTCCGGGGAGAGAAAAATGTTCCGACTGGCACAGGAGGTCGCAGCCGGTTCCCGCTCCGGCGGAACGCTGCCCCTGGCACCGAGACTTCCAGTCCGAACGAGCAACGACCGACAAAACCTTTCCCCAACCCCACGCCCTCATTCTTTCTCTCTAAAAACTTTGCCGGCGTGTTTGCAGAGAGCTCTTTGCAGCGGGGTTACCGCGGGGCACCGCGAGTGGCAGCTCGGAGCCAGGGCAGCGAGAACGGCTCTCCGCGGGGCCGGGACAACCGCGTCGGCGGGGCCGGATTGTGCCGCGGTGCGATGGGGAGGGCTCGGCGCTAGCGCGGCGCTGGCCCGGGCCCCTCTCGTGGGCGGCTACCTACCGATCCCTGAAAGAGAGCTGCGGTTACGGAGCACGTTCTGCCCTCCACCAAAGCGATGAGATCCGAGACTGCGGGCTGTTCCCCGGTCGTTATCCTCCCCCCCACCCCGATCGGACTCAGCGCTCCCTGCGCCGTCCCTCGAGCCGGGATCGGAGCCGGGTCCCGCGGGAGGCTCGCGGGAGCGGCGGCGCGGCCGAGCCGGCGCCGTGCGAGAGGCGAAGGAGACACCTATTGGCAAGCGGCCGCCGGCGAACCTCCGGTCCGCCGCGGGGAAACACCGGGGGACACCGCCGTCCGCCCGCCCTCCCGCCCGCCGCCCGTCGCGCGTTACCTTCCTCCGCCGCCTTCATGGTGCTGCCGAGCAGGCGGGCTCCGTGCTGCGGGGCCGCCGGCGGCCTCTCTCTCCCGCTGGCTGCTGGATCCCGCGACGGCGGCGCGGCGGAGGCCGGCGGGGCAGCGCTTGGCATCCACCCGGCGGGACGGCGGAGCCCCGGCGCCTCGTCCTGGCCGCCCCCGGCCCCTCGGCGCCCGCCCGCGCCCGCGCCCCCCGCCCGCCTTCACGCCCCGGGGGCAGGGGCCGCGCCGCCCCCGACGCGGGAGCCGCAGCCGCGAAGGCACGGGAGCTCACCGCCACCGCCCCCCCGGGGCCGGGGCATGGAGGGGAGGGCGGTGTGCGTGGGGACTGGGAGGCACTGCCCGCGCCGCGGCGGCGGGACGGGGCGGCGGGGCCGGCGGGCGCCGCTCGGCTGCCGGGTGCCGCAGGAGGGGACGGGGCGAGCGGGCGAGCGGAGCGGGGAAGTCTCGCTCTGACGCAGGGCTGCGCGCCCGGCGCCGCCTTTTTAAAGCTGGAAAACACCCCCCACCTCCCTTCCCCTCCCGGCCCCTCTCCCCGCCCCGGGATCGTGATGTCAGCCGGGCCTCGGCCCCGCCGCCGGCGGGCGGCCAGCGGGAGGCGGGCACCGGCGGGCACCGACGGCCCCGGAGGCCCCCCGTCCTCCGCTCGGTGCCACCGCCCGCGGGTCCCCGGGGCCCTCCTGGGGGAGCGGGCGCGTCGGGGTCGCGGCAGTGGGGAGAGCGAGCCGGGGGGAGAGGGAGACGGGGGGGGGGGAAAGGCGGCCCTGCATGCTGAAATCATTATGTAAAAAATCGCAGGCTTCCCCCGCTGTGGAAATTTGGAAAAGAGCATCAACTGGCAGGCGAGAGAGAGGAAAATCCCATTCTGCTAAATTACTAACAGACCCCGTGGACTCGGTTTCAGTCGCTTCGGATTTATTCTGATTATTTTATTTATTATTATTCTGTAAATATCTCAGCAACGCAGTTGCATCTCATCACTTCGTAGCGGGAGAAGGAGAGGCTTCCAGCCCGCAGCAGCTCCTCCTCCCTCCTCCCGCCTCCGGGATGCCCCGGCTGCCCCGACGGGCGCGCCGCTCCCGCTCCGTCCTCCCTCTGCCCCACAGCTGGCAGGGCCGGGCCACTTTCCTGTTGGGATTAAACGGCGGATAGAAGGGAGTTGGGGTGGTTTGGAGCGTATCTGGCATATGAGAAAAAAAAAAAAATCATAAATCTCGTGCATGACACCCATACGTGGTTGAAAATAAATCCAATATAAACGAAATCCTGCTCGCTCCCGGGGAAACTGGAGGCCACGGCAGATCGTTGGGGCGAACTCCTCCACTAAACCATCTCGCAAAACGTTCCCCACAGACGAGGAACTTCCATCCCCCAGACGGAGCGACACGCTCACGTCAGGAAAGGCAAAACCAAACCACAAAGGAGGACGCTCTCCTTTCGAGAAAAAACGCGGAGGGCAGCGCACATCGGCCCCGTCCCACCTGCCCGCAGCCAGCCGGCCGCGCCTCGCCTGGATGCGGCTCATGGGGGTGCCGCCAGGGGGCGCCGTTTGCCTCGGGGCCGCTCGGCAGCGCCTCCTTCCTCCGGCCGCCCGCCTCCGCAGCCCCGACGGTCGCGGGTATCCCGGCACCGCGCCCGGCGGCCGGGGCGAGCTCCGCGGTCCGGCTCGGAGCTCGAGGGGGCTGCGAGCCGCGCTCTGTTCCCCGGGACTCTCCTTTCCTGCCCGCGCTCCCCCCCCCGCTCGCCGCTGAAATGACGGAATCCCCCGTCTGTTTCCTCCTGTTTAATGCCGTTGCCCGGACCACCGTGGCTCCGTTCCAAGGTCTCGGAGCTCTGTCGCAGGCGGTCGGCGGCGGCGCAGCGCGGGTCTCCCCGGCCGCCCCCGGCCCCGCCGTTTCGCTGCCTCCCCCGACCCGGCCCTGCCCCGCCGCGCCCCGCTCCGCCGCCCCGGGGCCGCCCGCTGCCGGCCCGCCTCCGCTCCGCTCCTCTGCCCGTCCCCCGCTCCGCCGCCTCCCGGGGTTTGTTTACAGCCGCTACTAGGAGAGACTGCTACACGGGTCTTATTTTAGGAGCTGGTGATGACTAACGGAGTTAAAAGGAGCTTAGTACAGAAAACAACCCTATTTTTAGACGGCTGTTGTTTCATTGAGTTATTGTAGCGAACGCTCCTTGGCCATTTTTAAAGCCGCTTCCCCGGTGCCGGGTCCTCTGTGCCTCGCGGGTCGCTCACGCTCAGCCGGGCTCCCCGCGGGGACGTCGCGGTGTCTCCCCAGCCAACTCGCCTTGGTGACCGCCTCACGCTGTCCCTGAAGCCCCCCAACCTGCCGCAGGGCTCGGGCCGAGCCGTTCCCTGCGCAGCGGCCCCTCGAAGAGAGGAGCTCTCAACTTCGTGTTCTGAAATCGAGGAGGTGTGGGTCTTCTGCCTCCAGCGTTTGCCGATATGGAATATTTTCTTCCAGTATGCTCCCAGCATTCTAGAATCCAACGCATGGATAGAAAAAGCCAACCGTTTGGGACACGGTCATTTTGCCCCGGTTGCCTTCCCTTCTATAGCTAGTTCGCTCCGAAAGTAATGCCTCCTATTTATATCCACGGACTTTTTACGACAGCTGCAAGAGCACAATAACAATATTTGATAGAGCAAATTCTCACCTCCAAAACACTATTTTTTTTTTTTTTCAACACAGATATCTCTGTTAGCTATGCATGAACAAAAGCCTGCATGCCATGCTTGTAAAAATCTGCACCAGCAGAGGTGACCCACTGCCATCATCACCACTGCTGAAACGCAGCACCCACCACCTCAGTGTGCTCACATCCATTCTTTGGTTTCCACTAATATTCAGACAGCATTGATGGATATCAATCGATGGCATTTTCTCTGCGTGGAGGAATTTAGCGACGCATCTTTGTTTCATATGCTTCCATGTCAGATGCCCTTTTATCAGGCTGCCCTTCTGCTGCCATCGGTCATACATCAACAAGATGGAAGGGAATGCTGGTAGTAGGGTTCAAGCTCACTGACATCTGCCTCTGACATCATGGGCCAACATAATAAAACAGCAGGCGTTACTTTTGGAGCAGTCCTCATGATAGGTATGCTAACGTATCATCATCCATCTCTGACCATGCACTCATCTTTTGGATCCTGGCAGCTTCAAAAGCTTCAGTATCTGTTCAGGATTTCATCCGTTGTAACCAGAGGTTTGTAAGTCCCAAGTCTCCCTAACCACATCCCTGGTTGAAGCGTTTCTAATCCCCTGCTTTGAAAATCATAACTAAATTTGCTGGAAAATAAGTGAGCAAATGGCTGGTGTTTTTGGCCAATACCACACCATTGTGAAAAGGCAACCATGAGGCTCTCACACAACCCATTAAATACGCACCAGTGATGGCCAGTTGCTGCCCCACATCCCCAGAAGGACACATTTGGTGAAGAGGCAGGGATTCGGGTCAGCCTGACATCCCCCAGGCTCAGACTCCTGCGGAGGCTGTTAGAAATCACTTCACCACGTTTCAAGTACATTGCACTTAGCAGGACAAATGCCAGCAGAGGAATTTTGTGTGCTTGAATAATGTTGCAATTTACCCTGTGGCCGGGCTCATTACGGCACCGAGGGCCCTGTTGGTTTACCTGGCTTTTGATTTAGTGGGCTTTCGGTAAGCGACTGTAGAGGCACACAGCCAGGGACTGCAGGAAAACAGCCTTCATGCCTCTCCGGAGCTCCAGCCACCCATTCAGACACCGACGTCCTAAAGGAAGGACAGGCATCAGACAGCCACACCAGACTCGTGTGCAGAAGGATGAATTAAACAGATGTGAGCTCGGAGAGGCAGTCCTTTGTGGGTGCCCCTCCCCAAATCCTGAATCCAGAGCAGGTGGGAGGGGGCAGTTCCCAGCCCAGAGATGCCCCAATTGAGGTCACCCTCGTGCAGCTGTCTGATGTGGAAAGGTGGGTATCTGTTGGGCACTGCCAGGGACACCCAAAATGCAGCGGGTGGCCAAAAAGTAAAGGTAAAAGTAGCTGCAGAAATATTTCATGTGTGTCACACTTCCCAGCTGCTGGTGCTGAGCAGCCTCTGGTCTCACCTCTGAGCACTGACTGCTGGAGAGCTGCTGCTGCTGCCTGCCCGGATGCTGGGCTGGGGCTGGTGGCAGAGCTGGTCCCTCTCTGAATGAAGGGGAAGGTGAGGTGTGCAGTTTCTGGGAGATGCACGGGTTGCTGTGCCCGTGAGGAGCATGTGAGGAGTGCTCCCTTCTCCCCCCCCCCAACTCTTGGCACGGGTGCACACCTGACCTCCTGGCAGCAGGCAGTCTGTTGTAGAGCAGGGCCAAAGGGGCAGCTTTGGGTCACACTGTAGCAGCAGAGGTCCAGCACTGCAAAGGCCATGGGGGGTTTTCTGCTAAGACAGGGACTCTTATTCTCCTGGTAGGCTCCGCATCCCTGGAATATCTGGTGTGAGAAACAGGTCCCTGCCACTCCTCACCCTCTCCTGTCTGCTGGTGGTCAGTCTGGAGCATCTGCCTCTACAGCCAGCAGACTCTGTGGTTCTGACTGAGAGCCGTGCATTGCTGAGCCGTGGTTATAGCCACGTGCCCTGGGTGCCAAGCATCCTCCTGCATCCCCACCACACGTGTGCTCCCTTTGCCCAGTGTTGAGCTGGCCGACACAAAGGGCTGCTCCAGTGGTGCTTGGTGCCCTCTGCAATCCCTCTCCCTGTAATCAGGCAGCTTGCAGGGAGCACCGAGCTGAGAGCCATCCCATTTGCCACATGAGCAGAGCAGTGTGCTGTGAAGCCCTGAGCTCTCTGGCTGCAGCAGGAGCCCTCTTCTCCAAAACCTCAGCTGCGCTGTTATTTGTTTGGCTGCTGCTACCCCTGCTGCTCCTCACCACCAGCCCGGGGCCTTTACTTCATTAGTTTCTTCCTGCTCTGTTTCATTAAAGTTGCATTTAAGTGTGCCAGTGGTTCTCTCCAAACAAATAGCCTTCCATTCTGCGATATTGAATTTCTTTGCATTAGCCTATTCCCCCAGCAACTCCAAATCCTCCCGTAGCTGGTGCATTCCTGAAGTTTATCAGCAGCCTCCCCTTCTATCATGACATCATCTGTGTCTGGGACACCCAGCAGCTTGCGCCAGCCTC